ATTTATTACATTTATTTATTGTGTGTGTGTGTGTCCAGCTCAGCCCACCAGGGGGCGGGGCTGGCTGGCATGTGGTGCTGGGGATCGAACCGTGGTCCCTGTGCTTTGCCAAGCTTGATTCAAGTAGGTGCTTTAGACCACTGAGCCATCTCTCCAGCCCCCCCTTTTTTCTTTTTTTAATTTGTCTTAATATATGATCATGTCATTTACAAATGGTTTCAGTTTTACTTCATTTCTTATTTGAATTTAAAGAAAAATTCTTCCCTGATTAACTGCCTACAACCTCCAATGTAGTCTTCAGTGATGAAAGTAGATGCTCTTTTTCTTTTCTCCTTTATTTGAAACTGGATCTTGCTGTGTTGTTCGGGCTGGCCTCCAACTCACAATTCTCCTGCCTTTTTTTTTTTTTTTTTTGTGGAACCAGGGATTGAACTCAGGCCCTTGTGTTTGCCAGGCAAGTGCTTATTCCACTGAGCCATCTCCCCCGCCACAATTCTCCTGTTTTAACCTCCCAAGTATCTGTGTTTACAGAAATAGGTCCCATTGCTCAGGGAAAAGCAGATATTTTTGTCTTCTTTGTTTGAAGGAGAAGGTTTTCAGTCCTATACTTTTGGATATGATGTTAGCTTATTAGCTATGGGTTTTTGGTAGATTCCCTTTATTAGATCAGGAATTAATACTTAAAAAATTAGGCAAGTTGTTAATGTTATCCACTTATCTCTGCTAATGTAAAATCAGCTGTGTTAAATATTTAAAGAACCATGATAAAATTATTGTATTACTGCTATTGAAATTTTACCCCAGAGATGAAACCTTTTTACTTCCATTCGATGAGTACTTTTTCCTTTCACATGAACACATTAAGTAGCTTTTAGAAAATTATACTTTGTGAATAAATTATTTTACTTTGTATTCTAGACAAAAGGATGCCACGGAAAAAGAAAAAAGTTAAAGAAACTTCTGAATTTCAGAACCTGGAGAAGGATGCTGAAACTACCAGTTCTGTCAGTGTGAAGAGAAAGTGTAGAATTGAAGATGCATGCATTGTGATATCTGATAGTGATGGAGAGGTCAGTATTTTAAAAAGTGAAGCTAAAACTCTCAATCTAGATTTCTTTATTCATAAATGGCAATTTTGTGACTATTATATCTTTCTGCCAGCTTTTCAAGACCATATAATTTTACTCAGTTCTGTTTTGATTTGAAATGGAATTATAAATTACTTAAGTAATCCTGTTTGGCTGAGGATAGGTTGTATTATAATTCTTCAGTTTTTTTTTTTTTTTTTTTTTTTGCGGTACTGGGGATTGAACTCAGGGCCCTGCACTTATTCTATTGAGCTATCTCCCCAGCTCCTTCAGTTTTCTTAAAGATTAGCCCAGTGTAATATTTTAGAACTGTTGACTAAACTCAAATGAATAAAAAATATTGTCATGTGTCCAGAAAGTCAAGAAAATGTGAGTGCAAGTCAGGCATGGTGTCACATGTCTGTAATCTCAGCACTGGAAGGCTGCAGGAGGAGGATATCAAGTTCAAGCACACCCTGGGCAACTTAATGACTTACTGAGACCCTGTCTGAAAATAAAAAATAAAGAGGGATATAGCTCAGTGCAAGGGTTCTGGATTTAGTTTTTGGAACTGAAAAAAGGAAAAGTATAACTGGAGCTGTAGATTTATCTCAGTGATAAAATACTTGCCTAGCATGCAGCAGGTCTTGAATTTAATTCCCAGCACTGTGAAAACATTAAATAAAAGAAAGAAGAGGAAATTGTGATTGCTCTCAAATCTTAGAGGTGATTTATCTGATATAGTAGCCACCAGTCATCTGTAACTATTTAAATAAAAATAAAAAATAAAAATCAGTTTCTCTGTTGCATTCATTATAGTCAAGTGACCAAAGGCAGCACAAAAGGCTGGTGTGTATTTGTAGTGGTTGATACATTGTGTCAGCTTGAGAAGTTTAGAAGTTTATAACTGACTCAGCAGAGAGCCAGGGCTCTTACTTTATAAACATCCTCATCCTGTGCAAGAGGAGGACATGGACATTGTGTAGTTCTGCACCCCCTCCTTAGGGCATGGAGGGCCTGCCTTCGGTTGGGCATGGAGAGTCCTCCCTAGAGTAACTCAGCTCTTAAAGGATATATAAAGGGACTTGAGGAAGGATGGTTGGTGCCACTTCTTCGGAGAAGCTGTGGTGTTCGCAGTCAGTGTGGAAGGAAGGGAGAGAGGCTTGCTAGAAGCTGCAGTTGCTGGTCCTCCCTTTGCTATTTTTTACCACCATGAACTGCTGCCCTTTGCAATGTGCTACTGTGCCTTGCAGTCAGCTGAGTATGGAGTGAAGTGTGGACTGAAACCTCCACTAACTATGAGCTAAATAAACCATTCCTCTTAATTTCGGGTGTTGGGTATTTTGTTCTAGCAACAAGAGAAAAGTAACCAAGACAGTATTACACAATGCAACTAGAAATTTCTATCACCATTGAAAGCTTTATTCAACAATGTGTTGCTAGGTCTTAATCTTTCTCCTTTATTCCCTATTTCTCTTTGTTTCTTAAGTTTTCCCTTCATTATAGGTCACATTCAGTAGGTAATAAGCTCAGGCATTATGTTTTCCTACAATTTTTAAATTTTTTTGTATCTCCTATTTTATTTAATAGTAGAAGCACTCATTTATGGTTCTATAAAGCTGTAAAGCTCAGAATAGTCATTGACTCTTTTCTCTTTTTTCTTTTTATGTATTTGGTTGTTACAGTGTCTCACTACGTAGCTCAGACTCATAGTGATCCTCCTGTTTTCAGCCTCCCCAGCGCTGGGATTACAGGTGTACACTGCTACGCCCAGACCCTGGCTGGCTCAGCCTGCCTTAGGGATGGGACTGGTGCGGCGTGTGGTCCTGGGGGTTGAACCATGTTCCCTGTGCTTGCCTAACCTTGCATAAGCACAGGCGCTTTAGTCCGCTGAGCTGTCTCACCAGTCCCTCTTCTCTCTTCTTTTATGCCTAATGTCTTCTCTCTTCATCTCTCACCCCGATGGGTTACTACTGAATGTTATGGCTTATATCTAGATGTCCTCCCAAAGCCTCATGTCTTTATAGATGGGGCTTTTGGATCATGAATGTATGATATTGGATTATGATTGTGATACCTGCTCAGTTCACTGATGGGTTTGTGTCTGGGTACATTGGAAAGAAAGCCTGGTGGGAAGAGGTAGGCCACTGGGGTTACATAACCTGGCAGTATCCCAGTCCCTTAATCCCTCTATGCTTCTTGTTTTTCTTTTCTTTTTTTTTTTTAATTATTATTTATTTATTTATTTAGTGTGTGTGTGGCCAGCTCAGCCCACCAGGGGGCGGGGCTGGCTGGCATGTGGTGCTGGGGGATTGAACCGCAGTCCCTGTGCTTTGCTTAGCTTAGTTTGTTCTAAGTAGGTGCTTTAGACCACTGAGCCATCTCACCAGCCCCTTCTCGCTTTTCTTGCCATGAGCTTTTTCTCCTGTGCCATGCTGCCCAGTCTTAGAACCACCTGACTGTAGACTAAAACCTCTGCAAACTGTGAGTCAGAATGAACCTTGCTTCCTTTAAATTGTAAGTTTTAGATATTTTGTCCCATTATCAAGAAAGTAAAACACTTTTTTAATTGGTTAAGTGATATTCTTCTATTTTCTTTTTCTAATGATCATCTTTTATTGGGGTTACTACAACAATATCTAAAGCTGGATTTTAGATAGCTGCCTTCTATCTATAATATAAACTTCTAATATAAAATGTTTAACTTACTACAATATCCGATTTTTTTTTAGACAGTCTTGCTATTGTAGTTCAAAGTGACCTTGACCTCATTATGTATCCTAGGTTAGCCTACATAATTTTCCTGCCTCAGACTGCTGAGTGATGGAATTGCAAGTATGTACTACCATGCCTGGTACTTCACCATAGTAGTTTGCCACTTTTAAATTTAGCCTCATACAGAGTCTTAGAGCATGAGCAAAATATAGACCAGTTCTTGTCAGAATTAATGTGCATCATCTCTTATCCAATTTCCAATAAAGAGAACTGTTATTCCCATCTGAAGCCTCATGAATCTGGCCTTTACTGTCCACGTTCCTATTGGTATTTTGGTCTTTTGAATGTCTATTGGAATTTTCCATCAATTTCTGTTTATAACAATCTAAGGCTTATCTAGTTGGCATTTCCAAACCTTTCCAAATTCTTCCTGTAAACCAGTTTTTTTTTAAATTAATTTTTTTATTTTATTTTTTGGTGGGGGATTGAATTCAGGCCCTTGCGCTTGCCAGGGAAGCGCTTATTCCACTGAGCCATCTCCCCAGCCCGGTAAACCAGTTTTGAAAGCTCACTTGCTCGCTCACATGCGCTCTCTCTCTCTCTCTCTCTCTCTCTCTCTCTCTCTCTCTCTCTCCCCTTTTTCCCTCTCCCTCCCCCCCTTCCTCTCTCCTCTCTCATTTAGATAGGATCTCACTATGTATTGGAACCTTGAACTTGCTTAGGTAGCTCAGGCTGGCCTCAAACTAATGGCAGTCCTTCTGCCTCAACCTCCATAGTACTGGTATGATCACAGATGTGCCACCATGCCCTTCTTTTAAAGGCTTTTGAACATAATTATAATCACAACAATATCTTTGTCTGATACTAGTTTTCCATATTACTGTATTTTCCCAAAAAGAATATATAGCTAGAAAATAATCAACCTTGAAAGCTAGAGCTCAAAAATGCCAGCCCCAATCAGCCTATCCTTGCCTTACCTACATCACTATTCTCTTCTCTTATCTGTTTTACAGAGGTAGCACTTAGGAAGAGAATAGTGGTGTCAGGTAAGGCAAAGATAGGCTAATTAGGGCTGGCATTGTTGAGCTCTAGTTTCCAAGGCTGATTATTAGATTTTGTTTTCAGGGAAACAGCGTAGTTTATTTTCCTATGGCTAGGACAAAATACCTGAATCAAGTAACCTTTTAAAAATGAGTTGAAAAGCAAGTGAATTATTTGGTGTTTCTTCTGATCTTTGCATTGCCTGCAATGCTTTCTAGTTTATTTTTCACCTTAGACAGCAGTTCCTCTGGGCATCATTAGAGATCTTTTAAGATTGCATCAGTTGGCCATCTCTTGTGCTTCCACAGAACCTATGTTCGCTTCTGTGGTATTATTTATCACACTGTTTTGAGCTTGCTTACTATATTTTTTTTCTATATTTATCAGTGGATTATGATTTCCCATAGGGCAGGCATTCTTATCCTGCATAACTCAGTAATATTTGGCTTTTACAAGAATGTGCTCTCAAAAAAAATGTCAGCATTTGATTTTACTTCTGTTTTATGATGAAGCCAGGAAAATCTGTGTGTGTTTGTGTGTCTGCATGAAGGAAAATAGTGAAGTAGCATTAGACCGGGGACATAAGTAAGGTAGAGCAAGGTTCTGGATTCTGTCCCCAGCAGTGGGGAAAAAAGTAGCATAAAATGGCCATCATTAAGGCTTGGCTTAACGTAACTTACTTCTGCTGAATAATGTTCCTTGAGTTGATACAGTCTTCCATTCTCCTATTGTTCCCAGGTCCCTAAAAGAACAGTGGCAAGCCTTTGTAAACCCCTACTTTTTCGTTGGAATTTCTATTTACTATATGAACTTTCTGAACTTTCATTTCTGTCTATAAAACTAGTAATACTTTATGTGGTATTGTGAAGGTTAGAAATAATGTAAGTAAAATTTCCTACAATGGTACATTAATAAATGATAGCTGCTAATTAGTGTAAATGTTCAGTTTATAATCTAACTTTACCAAGGGCTAAATCAGACAACCATATTTTTTCCCTCTAACATTCTTTCATATTAAAGAAAACATGGCTTGAGATACAACTCAATGGTAGAGGGCTTTCTGGGTATGGACAAGGCCATGGGTTTGATTCCCAAGCATGACAAAAATAGGGGCTGGGGAGATAACTTGGTGGTCTAAGCACCTACCTGGCAAACGCAAGGACCCAGGTTTGATCCCTAGTACCGTGTGTGGTGCTAGCCACCAAAACCGAGCATGATGGCTCACACCTGTAATCCCAGCACTGGGG